AAGTAGAAATTGTTCTGAAAGAGCATATAATCAAGGCCCTTTTGACTTGCAAAGTAATTTCTAATCCTCTGTTTTCTACCAGGCTTTGGAGGCCAAAAATCCGGCTTGGCAAAGGCTGAGAAATGTCCTTCCCAGAAAATTGCCTCCACATTGTTGTCTCCCATTCAGCCAATGGCTCAGACTACTAGCACCTTTCTTGCAGTCTGAGGAAGGGAAGAATCCAGCTTGTGTGCCTCTGGATATTGATGGCCCCCCACCCAAATTCCTGGCTGTGCTCCCCCAGCACTTTCATGAAGTTTTTGAGCTGGGCACAATTGGTCCTTCTGAGGACACCGTAAGCCCGTTGCTAAAATGCTAGAAAGAATCTCCCCGCCCCCCGATTTTCTTCTGCAAACACAGGAAGGATTGGAGACATTGATAGGTGGAGTTTCTGAAGAACATCTGCCAGTTGGTCCTCTGAAGACACTGAGAGTCTTTTGAAGGTGGGAGCATGGATCGCTTGATGGACCGATCCAGAAGGAAATTGGTTTTGCTATCACTGAATGGCACTGAAAGGCCTGCAGAAGCAATCAAGTGGATCAAGCCTGCCGGAAATATTTCTTCAGTCAAAAGCTTTTGGCTCTTTCCATTTTCTCACCTAAACCTTGGAATCTCACCAAGCGTTGCCATTGAACTTAGTACATATCTTTGCTTTGGGAATTTCTGAAGAATAGGACAGATCTTGCAAATCCTCCTGACCAGTTCTGTTCTGTTCTGTTCTGTTCTTTTCTTTTTTCCCTTGTTCAGGAGGGTCTTGTGTCCTTCAAGGAGGTGTCTGTGTATTTCTCCGAGGAGGAGCAGTCTCAGCTGGATCCTCACCAAAAAGCGCTGCATTGGGAAGTCATGCTGGAAAATTATACCAACGTGGCCTCTCTCGGTAAGGGTTTGCTTCTCTCCTATCAGAGAGTTTGGAAAGACATTTTCTAGTTAGACACCATCAGCTCATCTCTTGGAGGGGGGGAAGGAAAAGATCTGGCCTTCTCCTGCTCGAAGGAAGGAAGGATGTCAATGGCTCTT